ATCTGAAGAACAATTCACACTGTTAAACTATCAGCCTGTTATTATTGATATCAGTTCTTTTTCACTTGTTTTATTTTTATCGCATAAAATCAGCACAGTTTTAAACGATGAATAGAAAAGAAACAACTTTACCACAATGAAGGTTTGCATAAGAATGTTCACACGTGATACTGTGGACTGAAAAAGAAACAAATTTCCAAACGCAGATTAATCTCTCATGCACAGATTTGTCTTTGACCATATTTTGAAGGTATCAAAGCCTCAAGCCACTTACACGGACAGTCGTAGGCCACCTCCAGGTACTTGTAGGTGCCTGGACACGGGTCTCTGAACTCCGCGCTGCTCGCTTCGATAACGCAGCTCCTTTTCCCGTCACAGCTGTGAAAGCAGACGATGAGTGAGTCGGCCGAGGCTGGAAATACATCTGAGCGAAGATCGAGCCTCTGTACCTGTCAGCTACTTTAGACGTGGGATTGATGCATTGGGCATTCTGGATCTCACATTCTGGACGCCGGTAAGAGCACGTGGTCGTATCGCGGCGTCCGTAATTAGCCCAGTGGATGGCAATAACGTGTCCGTCAGCTGAGGAAGTGTTCATGGAGTTAAACTATAACTGTTTGGGTTTCTATCGACCCAATCCACCAACGATACAAAAGTATGAAATGTGTTCTCACCACAATGAAGGTTTGCCTGAGATCCTTCACATGCCACGGTGTGCACTGATGAGGAAACAAATTAGAAACTAAAAATTCATCTACAGGTTTCATCTCTGCGATTCAAAAATCCACTCAAAACCAAAGCTCTGCAGCAAAGTGTCCCGAGGGCACGTTGGAGCTCTGTTACGGCTCTTTGAGGTACTTACGCTCACAGTCGTAGGCCACCTCCAGGTACTTGTAGGTGCCTGGACACGGGTCTCCAAACACTGAGTTGCTCGCTTTGATAATGCAGCTGCTCTTCCCGTTACAGCTGTGAAAGCAGGTGAGTGAGTCAACAGAGGCTTTACAT